ACAACTCTCACTTGTACATAAACCTCGCTAGTACATAAAAAAATCAAATCCCGCGCCGAAACAGCATCACTCCCATACAAATTTTGTTCTACACAACATAATCCTACATAACATAAACCTCGACATAACACACGCTACGGCGGTCCCCGACGTGCGAACTCTCGATACAACATAAATTCACTTGCACGGTACGATCAAGCGGTAGCTGTAGCTAGGCCAGTTTAGTCCTACATAACGTAAACCTCGGCATAACGCACCCTACGGCGCAGTCCCCGTGTGTGCACTCTCGATACAACGTAGATTCACGTGCGCGGTACAATCAAGCTGTAGCCGTAGCTAGCCAGTTTAGTCTTATTGTGCATATATTCTGCGGCATTGATGGTATCTGATGTCGATGGTGGTACAGTGTGTATGTTTGCAAGGTTGAACCCGCCTTGTAATACCCTTCATTTTGAGGTGCATCTTGTATTTTACATACGGTTTTCTACATAACATAACTCTCGATATAACATACTTTTTGCGTGGTCCCAGAGATTACGTTATATGGAGAGTAGACCTGTAGCAAGTCTTCAGTGTACAACTATCTGTTGGCTAGTCCTGATTGTTGCAATTCGTATTCCGACTCTTCTTTCACTGTATTGTGCCGTGGTCGTCATGGTTATGGGCTACAGTTAAAAGTTTTGGAAGCCATCTGTCAGCGTCTGTATAAGCCTAATTTGTGTGTACAGAAAGATGATATAATTGGGTTGAAATTGTTCAAGTAACGTGTCATGTTTGGTGCGGCCAAGCTTGGCCGTTAAAGGGGAAGTTAAGGCAAAAATTAAAATTTCACCAGTTGTAGTCTTCGGGGTGCTGAGTCGAATGGTCGTGGTCCGAGGAAGCTGAGACGCTCCCTTCCTACTTGAATCCCAATCGAACTCGCGCACTTCCACCGAAACTGGGTGACTGCGCCCTACTAGATGGGGATTTGTATGCAAAATGTCACTAAAAGCGCCATTTCGTTCTTATAAAGGCACGGATGACCGCGATTGGCCCATATGTTGTAGTCTTTTGGACGCTGAGTCGACTGGTTTTGGTCCGAAAAGGCTGCGATGCGGCGTTCCTCCTTTATTCCCAATCGAACATGGTTGAAGAAGCGGTCACGTGCTCCTGCGTACACCAGTCACCTGGTCACCGTGCCTGCAGGGTACAACTTACTAGCCTAATAATAATAATAATTCGCGGGATTCGCGTTGGCATCGCTTGAATGTTCAGAAACACACAAACTAGCCTTCGCTTCCGCAGGCCACCACTATGCCTATGCCTTGCACACCTTAGTGGCGAATGCAGACCTCACAAGTGAGTCAGGGGAGAGTAGGTGAGTCTCTCAACCAATCGGGCGTGTAACGGCCCATAACCCTGTAAACTGCATCCTTGTTACCCTCACTCCGAGCTGTGAGTACCCAGTTGACCGTGGGTGTCGGCGCAGTTCACCACGCATAAAAAGTCTTCTGGCCTGTTTGACCTTTTTTGGGTGCAGTCCTGTCACTCGAGTTGAACTCGAGTTGAACCTTGGTGTGAAAGTTGTCACCTGCTGGCGTGGTGACCAGGTGATTTGGGCACCCAGGACCACGTGACCGCTTCTTCAACCATGTTCGATTGGGAATAAAGGAGGAACGCTGCATCGCAGCCTTTTCGGACCAAAACCAGTCGACTCAGCGTCCCAAAGACTACAACATATGGGCCAATCGCGGTCATCCGTGCTTTTATAAGAACGAAACGGCGCTTTTACTAGTTTTAGTGACATTTTGCATACAAATCCCCATCTAGTAGGGCGCAGTCACCCAGTTTAGGTGGAAGTGCGCGAGTTCGATTGGGATTCAAGTAGGAAGGGAGCGTCTCAGCTTCCTCGGACCAAGACCATTCGACTCAGCACCCCGAAGACTACAACTGGTGAAATTTTAATTTTTGCCTTAAGGGGGGACGGGAGGTTCGCTGGCCATATTGCAGTGCCCGTTATAAATTCGCTTGAATCTCAGCACTCAAACATCAGAATTCCTTCAAATTTTCAGTATATGTTCCTTGACATCCACTGACGACATTGCAACCAAGAACTGTGGAAAGTATACTGGTATCATGGAGAAATGCAGGAAAGCAATTTTGGAAAAAATGCGATAGCCGGGCATGATTTCTGCGCAGTTTTTCTCAAACACGGTCACTTGAAGATAAACACATAACACTGCAAAATGATCAGGTACCAAGGGGCTAGGGCTGTTGCCTAAGCACAATGCGATTACAGTTCCCATGGTGTGCCACTGCAGCCTTGAAATAACAATGCACGTGCGCAAGATAACTTGACTGAAGTTCAAGGTCCATTATTTTGTTTCTAACAGAAGATCTTGTGTCCTAAGAAGGCAACGGATCTAGAATGGACCGTACAGAACCAGAAAATATATACTTTTACATACAAGATATGTACAGCATTTCTAAAAAACTGCGCGGAGTGCCCATAATACCCCTAAAATCAGTGAAAAATGCACCTAAAAATTACATAAAAAGGACTGATAGTGGAGTGCTACTGAAATATTTTCACATATCTGACCTGAAGTTGCCATTCAGAAACCACCTTTGTCATATGTAGTGCCCTCTTTCTCAATAGTGGTCTCCTCCCAGCCTTTCCTCTGCCTCCTTCTCCTTTTCCTGCTCTCCTTTTCCAGTGCTGATGACTTGCGGAGGGACTTCTTCACACGCCATTGGTCTTCTAGCTCAAGCGCTGCCTTCGTGTGATTGCCATCAATGCATCCACACTCTTTCAGCACACTGAGCAAGGTGATAGCGCCGTTGTTGAAGTTGAGCACTGCCAAACTACTTGCCAGCTGAACGGTGTCGACGGAGCAGAAGCCTTCCTTCGGACGCATTCTCCAAATGACGTTGTTGAACGACTCGTTCGCATTCTGCGTTGCACCCATCTGGCAGCGCTCCAGCAGACTTCGTTCGGACAGCTGCATGTAGATGGGCTTCACGACTTCGAACACAGCCTTTGGGAGAGGGTTCTTATGAGGCCTCCGCGTGTGCCCACAGACCGCTGCCAAATATCGCACGCAGCTTCACTCTCCATACCGGGTGCAGATGCCGCTGTGTTTATGCTGCACTTGTGATTATCCAGCCAGGTTGAAAAGGCTTCCTCCGTGATTGCACCACTTCGCTTCTTCTCAGTCCAGATCTTACATTCGTGACAGTATCGACCCTTCACTGTGATGTCCAGTACACGGCCGCTCTGGAAGGAGATGCACGCGAACACACCATACAGCGACGAATATCCCCTGCGCATCCAAGTGCCGTCGAACGTCACTGCGACGTGGGTGGAATCTGTCATGGCACGCAACTCAGCTGCGGATTGAACCATGTCAGTTTCAGCTAGCTTTACGGCTGCAGCAAGGACAACTTCCTGGTGGCTGCGGTACGCTTTCTCCGTTACAGGAGCAGGAAAATTCATTACGCCGCAAAACTTTCGGAGTCCACCATGGCCACGTCCAATGCATCGCATCGCCAGTACAGATCGTCAATTCAGATCATAGCTCCTGCAAATTTTCTTGCTCAGAGACGTACTTCCACTGTGTCCACACAAAGCGCATTGAAGTCGCAGGGTCGATCCAAGTCCAGTGTCATGACAGTTACTGACGATCATGTCTCCCTTCGTGCACTTCCTACAGACAGTAAATTGATCCATCAGTTCCTGGAGACACTGTAAATCCACGATCTTGTAGCCAGAGACAGACTCCTCAACATCAGGATAGAATGCATCATCATCATACTCCTGGCAGCTATCACTGGACGACTCGTCTGAATCACTGTCACTCGAGCACACAAGCTCAGATTCAAATTCCATGACCATAATTATCACTAAGCCATTTTGGCCTCGACGAAATCTTCCGAGAGGAAGCGCTCTGCGCCGCTTCAACGGTGCCTTCTTCCACAACTGGTACAGAGCTTGACTGCTTTGGGGCGTAGTATCTCCCTTTCTTCCTCCTATGGCCACTTCCAGAGCTGCTGGTGCTTCTCTTTCGGTTCCCCATGTAAAATAATTTAATTGTTCACTTTCACGATCACAAACAAAAAAACAAAGATTTTTTCCTTCGCGTGGGCGTCGTGGCGCTGCAGAACGTCATACGCGATCAAGGAAGCACGTGGCAGCTCTCCATGACTACAAAAACAGAAGCCAGGGTCGCTTACCTGGCGAAGTTGAATCAAAAACGCTTGATTTTGGACTAAACCAAAGTCACAAAATTAGGCAATTGTAAACATTTGAGTATTTACATTTGAAATTTATCTCGACATACTTTAGCTCATAACTCCACTTCTACTAAACCGATTACGCTCAAATTTGAAATTCTGGCGCTTCAAATATCCTAAGACAAGATTCCATAGCAAAAAGTTCAAAACTCAGAAATTCATTTTTTGACCCTCTGAACCTCCCGTCCCCCCTTAACTTCCCCTTTAATGTTCTAGGTGTAATGTACTGCTGTTATTTGTTATCACTTTGTCCTTCCTTCTTTCTTTCTCTTCTTTGTTTATTTTTCAGGTGCAAGTTTATTGCTAGTAGTAGTACCGGTACACGCATTCGTTATTGCTCTCGCTTTCACTGTTAAAATTCACACTTGTAAATTTCACTGCTGTTTAGTGTTATTTCTCTAAGTTAGATTTTCTATGATAGTTCAATTTTGTTTTCAGTGTCCTTTAGTACAACGAAGATTCCTGATGAGTGTTGTACGAAAACTTGTTTGAATCCCTTCATTTTCGGCAAGGTTTGGGAGCATTTTCGGCAAGGTTTACGAGAATTTCCCAAAAGCATTTTCGGCAAAGTTTCGGGCATATTACATGTACACCGGGCCATACAATACCGTACTCCCTGCGTGTAGCTACGCATGTGCCGGCGCTGCACTGCGCGATGCGCTTGCTAGCGAACGCGAAAATACACTTTTTAATTTTTTCGTTTCCCGCGCTGTTTTCATGGTTTTCAAAAGTCGAAAATGCAACAATGCACAACAACAGGTCTGCAAAATAGAAAGAAGCTAAAAAGTAAAAGTAGAGCGCTTTTCGCCACATACACTATTGAACGTCTACCATGGTATACGTTGCAGAGAGAGAGAAAGTGTGAAGGAGGTCTCTTTACCAGTTTTACGTGTTCCTTTCTATCTCGTGTCCACGTGAGAGTGTGGCACCAAGAAATGGCCGATGGTGATCCTGCAGACTGTGGCTCGGAGGATTTGGACTACACTGTACACCTTTTCGGCTACCATCCTCAACGGGCGATCGATGGAGGTGAGTGCGGACTGATTCTCGTACTGCTGCCGATCAAGGTACTAAGATGGGTGTAACAGTGAGAGGTTGATACCATCAACTTCTCTGTCAAATACTTTTACATGTATTTATTTTATTGTCTTGGTTCTGTGTACATGTACCTTGTGCCCATACACACATTGTTATAACACGTACTTGCCCCCCCCCCCCCCCCCCTAAACATTTCGACCTGTAACATTTCTGCTTTTACAGTACAGATGTAACGAGCCACGATTTCCACGAACGATTATCTGCCCGAACACCAAACATTCGTTACATCCCTACTATGAAATGCAGGTTGTTACGGCCCTTGGATGTACGCTTTGCTGAAGTTTCATTGGATATGTGTTCAGGTGTAGCTCACAATTCCTTTCCTCCAGCGGGCTTGCGAACGGATTTGTATTTACTTCTGTGTGTGTGCCCAAAGGTGTGTGTGTGTGTGTGTGTGTGTGTGTGTGTGTGTGTGTCAGAAAAAGCCACTTCAATCAACTGTGTGGTATAGACCAGGCCAAAATCCGTGGCGGTCATTTCATCAGCCTTGCAAGGTGTAATTCCTGCACAAATTGCTATGTTTAACATAGATTGTTCGCTCTCATCGCTTCAGCGATGGGGGTGTGCGTGTGTGACAGTGTGTGTGTGTGTGTGTGTGTGTGTGCGTTCATGTCTGTGTGTGTTGTTGGTGGCGTTGTTACTGCAGTGCTGGACATAGTGGACAGTGTCACTGAGGACGGCGTCGCAGGTCTGAAAGCCACAATAACAGAGGTACTCCTCCAGGCTCCAACTATTGTGATTGGCAAAAGCAGGGTTCTAGCCAAAGGGGGGGGGGGGGGGGGGGGGAGAGGCACCCCCTCCCTACTCTGATAGCGCACCGCCCTACCCATTTTTCGATTTTTAGGGTTTTTCAGTTCACACAGCGAAAATGCGGCCACAAATCGATCGTTCCGGGTTCTCGGTGCACCCGTACATTGCTTTTTTTTGTGACAAGGCAATAGCGGAACACTGCAAAAAAACTTTAAAAAAGCAAACTTTTTCTCCCCCCCCCCCCCCCCCCTACGTTTTTTTCTTGGCTAGAACAACGAAGAGAGTGGAGCAAAGTCACTTTACTTGTAGGGTTGTACTGCTGTATGTTTACAGTTAGCCTTATAGGCATGTCTCTCTACCGTCTGGCAATGGCCAACAGTCAAACTGGCGGATAGCAACTTCGGATATTAGCCACACGTCGCGAATAACAACACTACCCTCAGACCTAGGAACCACTTGGTCGCGTGCCCTTTAAAGTTTTAACCTCGCGAATAGCGACAGCTCGCAAATAACAACGCTTTTCTCATGGCCGAGGGAGGGTCATTATTTGCAAGGTTGACTGTACTAGTATGTAAGAGAGATTTCATAGTGATCAGTTCATGTCTGAAGTACTGCACTGGTTTGTGCTGGCACTCTACTAGTATTATTGTTTCATAGTGAGCAGTTCATGTCTGAAGTACTGCACTGGTTTGTGCTGGCACTCTACTAGTATTATTGTTTCATAGTGATCAGTTCATGTCTGAAGCACTGCACTGGTTTGTGCTGGCACTCTACTAGTATTATTGTTTCATAGTGAGCAGTTCATGTCTGAAGCACTGCACTGGTTTGTGCTGGCACTCTACTAGTATTATTGTTTCATAGTGAGCAGTTCATGTCTGAAGCACTGCACTGGTTTGTGCTGGCACTCTACTAGTATTATTGTTTCATAGTGAGCAGTTCATGTCTGAAGCACTGCACTGGTTTGTGCTGGCACTCTACTAGTATTATTGTTTGTTTTGTTTTTGTGGTTATAAAATGGTTATAATGATAATCCCACAACAAGTTGTTAGTCTCCCTTTCATTGACTTCTTGAATGGACTGTACAGTCTTCTCTGTGTGTGTATGTGTGTGTGTGTGTGTGTGTGTGTGCGCGCGCGCGTGTGCGTGCGTTATGCCAATTGTCTTGGTTTTGTTTCGTATTTTGGTCACGGGCAGAAGCAGGATCTGAGCGCGGATGTGGTCTCCACGGTATGTGCATTGCTATGTGACATCTAGGGTTCCCAGTAAAATGGCAGTAGCCTGTCGGGACTCCCCTAGTAGAATAAAAAAAAAACTGCTACTACTTCTACATTATCTTGGCCCACCGTCGTAATCCCATGTTTCTCACCCGGCTTACACGACGAATTACCGTACTTCCACGCAGAGAAGTACACATGCTTATACAGTCATACCTCGGTTATCAGGACACTGAAGTAACGGTAGTTACTGGCACTTTGGTCAGCCGAACACCCTCTAGGCCAGTTTTGGTGGTAATATTACTACTCTTTTGTCACTTTTTTTGTGAGAATAGTGACGTCGTACTCTGTTCTCTTGCCTTTCCCCATCTAGTAGTAGTAGTAGTATTTATTATTTTACTTGGGTATACCCAACAGGCCTATGGCCTTCTTACAGGGTGCCCAAGGAGAAATTGTGAGCAGCTAGCGCGAAAAGCAGGCAAAGTACGCTGGGATCGAATGATAGCGGGTAGTGCATTAAAGCGGTCAGCACCAAGAAATGAGAGACTGTAAAGGCCTGGCCGGGAATGGGGGCCATCTAAATGTATGTGATTCGGAGTTACGAACATTTCAAAGTTACAGGCAGTGCCCGGTCCAGGACCGCCCGGATAAACGAGATAGCAGTGTATGCGAAAAGTTGCAGAGCAGTATTGTATGAATTACTCCACGCTAAATGCAATATTAATTACTATATGTATGATGTGGGTGTGGGCCGGGCGGTCCATGTACTTCACTGTATTTTCATGCCTGTTTACCCATCTTACTTCCTCGTCTCTGCAGGGTTGTGAGCAGTACCAACGTAGGCTCGAGGACTTTGCCTCCGTGCTGTACGGCGATGTGTTCAGGGTAAGACAGCCTGAGAAAAAGAGAGAGGGGGGAGGAGACACACAGACAGGCAGACAGACAGACAGAGACAGACAGACAGACAGAGAGAAGGAGAGAGAGACAGACAGACAGACAGACAGAGAGAGAGAGAGAGAGAGAGAGAGAGAGAGAGAGACGGTTGGCCATTACCATAGTCGGTGTGCATAGCGTTATGAGTACCTTGATACCAGGCTGTATACTGTAAGACATGTAAATATAACGAGGAAGTAAATCGAAAGTTTTAACGAGTTACATTTCTTCGTTATTATAAGTTCTGTTGAGGCTGCAAGGCCACATATGTGTTATGTGCGGATATGCCTGAAGACTGCAAGATCGTTATCGTATGTTCTTGTTATCCTATGGATTTTGGACAATCGTTAAATTTGTGACTCGTTATAATAACATGTCTTACAGTATATTGCTTTGATACAATCATGCTGCTGTCACACAGCCCATGGCATCCTTAGCATGGACTAGCTCGCTCAAATCATGAACACTGCGTGGGTATGATGTGTTGAACATTTGAAATACGTTGCACTGCATTCACCGTTCACATGCCAAGAGTTGACTATACTGCTTCTCTCCCATTTTTTTTAATACACTGTCATACTGCTCATCGACTCTTCTCTGTGATTGTGACTGTGTTGCTGTTGTTCTCCGATGATGTCTCTCTCTCTCTCCTCCCCCCCCCCCCCCCCCCCCTCTCTCTCTCTCATTCTCTCTCTCCCTCTCCCTCTCTCTCCCTCTCTCTGTAGGAGTTTGCCGAAGGTATCCTCTCCATCCCGTCGCATGTTGTCTTACCGGAACATGCGGTATGTGCACTACTGTGCTCTCCATCAAACCCTGGATTAATATTCAGTGATTATCTACTGTAGTGGACATTGGCTCGCAGCCGTGAGCGCTGCTGGTCCTATTTTAAGTGTACGTGAACTGCAGTGCGTGTAGCCGCTAAAAGCGGTAAGGACGCCGACGCCGGTCATCCCATCAGATTTCTACGTCCTCAACAGTAGTTGATACCACATACACTGGCATGAAGTGGAGTAGGGGAGGTACTAGTACTGTCAACTTGTTCTAGTATTTGAGCTGCTAAGGGTTAAACCAAGAGTACATACCCCCCCCCCCAATTTTTTTAAATAAAGTGTGCAATTCCACTATGGCTGCTGTGCCGACAGAATTTCAAATTGACGTCATTTTTATGATGCGATATGTATTGTACACGTACTGTCAGATGTGTCCTGAACCTGTGGTGGACAAAGCCCCATTCGATCCTGTACAAACTAGTTCAAGGAAACATGTGTGATGCGCGAAGACACCCCATGCACATGTCATTAAATCACTGGTGCAAGGACCGTTGCGTCATAAAAAAATATAATATCAACGTGAGGTTTTGTCGGGACAGCAGGGTATGCAGGGGTTATGTACTCTTGATTAACCGAAATCACTCCTGCAGGCAAGTTGCTAGTGGTGAGCCGACGCACAGCATGGACGAATTGCCGTTTGAACTCGTCTTGGGTAGTACTGAGCAACCCCTATTGGTACTCTGCGAGACAGCTTACTGCTGTAAAGGGTTCAGCAACAGTGTCATCATCAGCAGCAATACCACCACCACCACTAATAACAACAACATTCCTATGCACTTTGGTTGCCCTACACTCTTTTTACATAGACCTTAGTGTGTGCGTGTGTGTGTGTGTGCGTGCGTGCGTGTGTGTGTGTGTGCGTTCGTTGATGACTGTACGAGCATCCGTTGTAATCTCTGCATGTGAACGGGGACTTGTGCATCTCATTTTCTTTTTCTTTTTTTAATTTTCCACTGTATCGATCAGGGAAAGAATGGCCACCGCGAGGATCAGAGAGCTGACTGCCTCCAGCTTGCCAAACAGATCGAACAGGTAGGTGCAGGTACATTTGTTGGGTGGGGGGGGGGGGGGGGGGTGCAGTGCCTGGCTTGGTTTGCATTGCTGTGCATGGCTCTTGCAGTTCCTTATACGCGCCTCTGCTTCGTGTGGCTGATAATGGGTGGCTTCTCCTTCGGAAATAGGTTTCGCAGGGCTCACAGATGGCGAAGCAATTGCCGAGCATTTCATGCCATACGGTGTGGGTAACCGTTGTCACCTTGTTGGCCCTTGTTCTTTGCCGGTTGTGCAGGAGAAGTACGATCAACTGGCGCTCAAGGAGAGGATTCGTCAACTAGAAGAGGCCGAAGCGAAGGTGAGCGTTTGAAACGCTATCGTGTCCGTGCGTCGTTACGGGAGTCAAATGGAATGCTGCGTCTATCCTTGCAGTAAATGCGTGGTTTCCTGCATTCTTATCATAACTACGAGGTACAGTCAGACCTCGCTTATCCGGTCCTCTTGTATCCGGATCCCTCGCCATCCGGAACAAAATCGCTGGTTACCGATTTACAGCATATGCCATGCATACATGCAGTATGTGTGTTCGATTATCTGGTTCCCTCGCCTATCCGGATATTTTTTTGTGGAAAACGGATGTGTGCGGTTACCGTATATTCTCTATTATAAGTGCAGGTCTCCATTACTAGCACAGTCTCTAATACTAGCACACTGTGAGCACCTTTCGAAACATTATAAGCACAGTCTCTATTATTAGCACGGTCTTGGTGGAAATCAATGCTGCATGCATAATATCTAGCATGTATTTCTTCTTGCTCTGTATGGATGTATTGGTTGAAACAAATATAAGCACGGTCTCCAATATAAGCACGGGGTAGAGGGGTGTTGAAAAGATAGAAGCACAGCGCTTGTAATAGAGAATATACGGTATGCGAGGTCTGACTGTACCGCGTACAACCATCTGAATACGGTGAACCTGTCAAGGCGACCGCTCGACTGCGATTGGGATGTTATTTCCAGTCTAATGACCCTGGATACGGAGACCACCTAGTGCACAGCAGCCACAATTTGAAGGTCCCTTGAGCGGTCGTCTCAGACAGGATTCACTGTACATGTACCTGGGTTGCCACACCTGCCGACATGTCAGTAGCCTGCTGATTTTTGAGGCCTGTCATGACCTGCCGACAATTGACCGATGAAAGTGTCCAAGTTTGACCTTGTGCTTGGTTTTGAAGTCCCCACTTCCATCCAATATGCCACCGCCCCCGCTGTACAGCATCTGATGGTTCTGTGATATTCAGGAAAAAAGAAGAAGAAAAATGATCCAGATTTTGGCTTTTACTGCTCATCACGAGTGTTTCCATAGCTCATTCCTAAGGTGCTTAGCGAATCATCAGCTGTCTGGGGAATACAGAAAACTCAGCCTGAGTCTCACGCAAAGCCGTGAAAGGTTTTCTTAACAGTTCCGAGTGCGCGTGTGTATTGGGATTACCCTGAAGGGAGGGGGGCGGATGATGCATTTTTATTTTTTTCATCCTCCTGATATTTGGCTATAATGATGTGGCAACACTGATGTACTTCTTCATCATTTGTGTCCATGTCTGTCTCGTACTACGAAAGTGCTGTTACAGGAAGAAAAAAACTTCTGCCGACTCTGCTCGGATGACTCCTTGCTTTGTATTGTGGACCCTGGGTGAATAGCTTCTCGGTTTTCTCCGTGTCTTCTTTGTCCTGTACCAGGCTGCTGCTCTGCAGAGGAAGGTGGATAGCATAGGTGAGGCGTAGAACAGTTGCCGTATTTTCCAGCGTATAAGCCGCACTTTGAACACTCAAAATTCACCCCAAAAAATAGGGGTGCGGCTTATACTACGATGATCAAATTAACGGTGATAAGTAGGGTAGATGTCTGTATTTCGTGGCAAAAAAATGGGGGTGCAGCTTTTACTCCGGAAAATACAGCATATTGCTTCCTGACTCGTGAGTCGTAACTACCAATGGAGCTGGTTAGGTGATGGGGCAATGGAAGAGTTTGGAGTTTGGGGTGACAGTTTTGCCAGGGCCGGCGGAACCGGTCAGGCTGGTCCGGCCATGGCCGGACCACTTTCCCAGCTGGATGGTCCATGATGATGTGATTCGTGCAAAACCGGTGTAAAAAAATCCAGAGGTACATGACTCGACTGTACTGCTGACGTGTGATGTGCTTCGAAGTACATGTAGCTCAGGACTCCGTGACCGGCACTGTATGGCTGATATGGATAAAAAAAAGTTGTGTTTGTGTTCTTTTACTATAATTTTCTGCATTTTCTGGAGCCTTAGAGATGCCCAAATTCGCTCTATTTCACGTAAATTTTAAATATTTCTCCCGGGGGACGTCCCCCGGACCCCCCTCAAAGGTTGGCCAGACCGCTCCTGAACTCCTTCCTCCGGCCCTGTTTGCCCATGTATGATGTGTACTAGTGTGCGGACGGGATGTTAAAATGTGCTCGCACTGCCCTCGCATGTACGGTCAATCTTACGAATAACGGCCCTCGATCGTGCATCACAAAAGTGTTGTTATTCACGAGGTTGAACATACAGACAGAAGAATGAGCAATTGTTTTTCGCAGCTCTGAGTTTCACGAACTGAATCGATCATCGGACGAAAATAGATACTGATCCTGCCCTGCCAGTACTGCTATATACAGCTGTACCATGGATGAACTTCACATGGTGGAGGTTGAACATATGCAGTCAAATGGTCACTGGGTCTAAAGATTGTGCCGTTATTCGCAAGTTGTGGTTTTTAAATAGCCTATAATACCAGAGGTTGTTATTTACATGATTTGACTGTATTTACTTCGTCTCAAGTCACAGTTTTTTTTTTTTTTTTAAAGGCCACAGCTTCCAATCATGTGCAAGCTTGTATGCTCTGCTTTTGCAGGTTCTACCCCGGATGAGTTGCTGAAGACAAAATCGCAGGCCACACAACTGCTCCGTGCCTTCGACTCGCTGGAAGCGGACAGCTGAACACGGATTTGTCAAACGGACATGTCGCAGTTACCTTTCAACCAGGGAGTAGTAAAATACCGTTGTTTTACTACTCCCTGCTTTCACAGCAATAACTTGCATGCGTATATACAGCACAGGGAGTCGTCAAATACTTGACGACTCCCTGATACAGCACAGCGGTGAATCATTGAATCAGCTGAAATAGCTGAAATAGCCGGTCTTGTTCATTTCTTTTAGCCTGATGATAGGATATGTGTAATTGTTGAGTGGTAACTTTACTACTCCAGGTGGTGGTGGTCGTGACGGCGTTGTGTATCGCTTTGCCTAAGTAGTTAGCCGTCGTCTCTTCTCATTCCCCTCGTATCCCCTCTAGATGGCGATACAGTTGTGTGCCGTATTTCAGTGCTCTGGTATCGTATTCCCTGGGATTAGCGTGATCTTCCAGTTAGGTGATCTTAGATTCAAGTCTTTTTATTGACTTATTTTCCTTGATGTGCATACTTGCTAGCTTCATGTTTAGGGCATATTTGAGCGTATGACAACGAAATAATATGAGCCAGGGACTATAGAAACCGCCCTACGACGTTTGATATCAAAATCAAGTTATGACGTTTCAAAGTCACGCGACTCAAAGTAGTTACGCGAAGCGCAGAACTCGTCACTTTTGTTTTGACAAGACTCAAGAGCTTCTCCGTCTCTCGTCTTGTTAGGTGGTCGGGGAAGGATTCCGAGCTCGAGCGATTGTCGAGTAACTCATGAGGCTCCACTTACTGTGATTGATTATGGCTACAACATCTAGTAGACGACGCAACTCGATTCTGTGTGGAGTCGACTAGTCCCTGATGCGAAGGCGCTTGAATCGGACGACGAGAATTTTTACGGATTCAGCGCTGGCACCCGCGAGTCGTCCGCGAGCGATTCCGACACCGATGCTGACAGCGACGGCGATGATATGCCACCTAAGAAGAAGACGTATGGAGTCACAGCAAGCTCGAGTGCTGCTAGTGTTGTGTCGAAAACGCCAAGCCCCGACAGCTCGGAAATTTCAAACGCGGAGAGTGACACCGACTACTCGGAATCGGATGACGAACCAGATACCCCCGCACCTGAGCCACCGACGACGGAGCAGGTGAAGCGTGGTCTCCTTGGACATACGCGATGGGATTGAGAGAGGCTGTGGATGCAAGTCGAAGAATCATTGGAAAGTCATCCCAGAGCAGCAGCTCGAGGACTACATATTTGAAGTCTCTAAACTGCGAGAATCGAAAAAGCGCTTCAACAGTTCAAGCAGTTTGTTCTGGGCGCACTGACTGGAAGCATGCGAAAGTCGATGACTGGCGGTGGTGATCGACCTTTCTATTTCCGCTATCATGTACGTGGTTACGAGTTGTGCAAAGACGTGTTCATGGCAGTTCATGCTGTTGGAAGTCATGTAATGAAGCGCCTTCAAAAAAGGCAAACAAAGGAGTCGTTCAACTGGCACAAAATGGCTTGACTGGGAGAACACCAGAGCACTTGGCCATTTCAGCAGACATAGAGCAGGATGTAGTGCAGTTTATTTAGTCATAATTATGCTAACATGTACGGTCTACCTCAACCTGCAGCGGAGCGAGGTCGTGCTGAGGACCCTCCAGTATACTTACCAGCATCCGAGCACAAGAAGTCTGCATACATCTACACCAAGACCGTCACACAGTATTCGCCTGTTCATTACAGGTCATTTTGCCACATTTGGAGGAGACAGGCAGCACACATCAAAGTGATGAAGCCAAGGACAGACGTATGCGCACTGTGTGACAATCTGCGGTACAAAATTCGTGTCGCCCGTACAGAGGAAGAGACGAAATGTAGTGTCCAGGCCCTGTGTTCGCACACATCGCTAGCACAAGAGGAGCGGCAGTACTACCGAGATTTAGTGGACGGCGCGCAGGCATCACTGGATGAAGCTGAGGGCATAGTTCACTATACATTTGAACTGCCTAACTACTACGTAGTAGCAAGAATGAAGATATACAAAGAACATTACATACTGTGTACATAAATTTGCTCTATATTGCTCAATTGATATGCCATTATTAAATAGGTGGTTAGGCACATTTTACCATCGCAGATCAACTTGAAATTTTGTTTGAGCACATTACCATACCATACCAACATTTTGAGAGAAAAAAAAAATTTTCGCCAAAAAGTGCCATAGGGTGGTTTCTGTAGTCCCTGGCTCATATCTTATTTTCTTCTAGGCTTGAGAATCCAGTGGTTTGCAGGCTGTGATATCAATTATTGTGCTCTGTACAAACCATATTCATGCAGTATGTGGTGTGTGTGTGTGTGTGTGTGTGTGTGTGTGTGTGTGTGTTCAGCCTTGCAAGCCTTTGAATGGTGGAATCCCAGTGCAAGATACAGTAAAACCTGTCAAGGCGACCACTCGGATAAGGCGACCACCTGTTCCAGAAGACCACTGCAACCAGGACCAAGGGATGCTATTTCCAGTCAAATGACCCTGGATAAGGAGACCACCTGGTAACGAAGACCAGATTTGAAGGTCCCATGAGCAGTGCAGTCGTCTTAGACAGGTTTCACTGTACTATGCCTCTATGCCTATGGCTCCTGCTATAGCATCGCTATCATCGGCGACGGCGATGGGCGAAAGGTCAAGGTCAAATGTGTGCCAAATATCAAGAGTCCATAAACAAGAGTGTGCAGCTGTGATCTCTTTTGTATGGGCCAGATGCGCGGCGCGCTGCCTTCATTACATCATTCAGCTGCAGTCCGCGCACTGCGGAAAATCGAAATCGCACTTTCCCTCTGGTTTAACCCTTTATGGGTCTCACATAAGCGTAAGGGTCGTATGTGACCCTTACAGTAAAATCGCATTTTCTGTGAGTTTTGTTGCTAGGAGACAACTAAAATGGTGCTCCACTCGCAGCTGAGGTCCCAGGCTTTCCAACGGTGTAAAAAACAACCATACTTACTATACAAATTTTTGCAGTATCGATCGACTGAAGTCTGGTGAAATTGGAAAAGACGACCATCCGCCATACACGCATTTCGAGAATGGGAGTGCATCTCTTGAAGCCGTGTCAGAAAAGCTTTCTGAGGACACTGACGGCACCAGTCTAGGCTGGATGTCCCTGGAGGATTTCCAGTGTAATGTCGTGAGAAAGAGAGCTCCGTTGAGTCCTCCTAGCTCAAATAAATCGTCCCCGAATGAAGAAATCAAATTTACCAACCAGCGAGGAAGCACAGCAACAGCAACTCTTACAAGGACTTGTCAGGTGCGATCAGCTGATTCGCCTGGCCGTGAGAATCACGGCACGCGTGACATCGCGCCTGAGTACTCATCTGAGCGAGAGTGAATCTGACGCGAGCGGCGCTGAGGTGAACGAACCAAAATTGTGATATTGTGGAACTGTTGCTGCTGGTGCATCGCCGATGGCGAGGTATTGGAGTTCAAGGACGGAATTAGGAGCATATATTCTTCACCAAGACGTAGCGCTTACCTGATTGTTTAGCATAGGACTTCAGCTCCATCACGAACTTGGTATGCACTTCGAGCTGTGATTTTTGTGCTTTTTTGTTCGCAATTGTATTTTCTCTCAACTTGAAGGGCTACCACAGGTCATACCCTTGCCTGGACATAGTCATATTTGTGTTTTCTGGACGCGTCCAGGCGTACAGATTTTGAAAATATATAGTTTACCCATACCTACAACTCAAGGAACTTGAGTTATGGCTCGTTGTTTGTACGCGTGTTTGCGTGACCACCCCTCACATACATTGAGTAAGACCCACAAAGGGTTAAAAATGAACATTCGTACGGAACTGGAGTTCACGCGTCAACATTAAGATCGCGTAGTACATCCCCCATGTTTTGTCCTTTTCCTCGTTTCTTTTTGTTCTCCACCTGTTTTCCAGTAGGGCTGTGTCAATAGTAAAAAAAAAAAGTTACTGGAACGAATCGAGCAAAAACGGATGGACTCGTACGAGAAATCGTGGGTTTGAGTGCATGCTTTCAGAGCGTGATGGAGGCAAGTTGCGTAATGAACGCAGTGCGCCGCGCACTGACCCATAACCACAGTTGCTTACTCTTGTTTATGCATTCTTGCCCATATGGTGCAGTGGTATGTGCAGTCGATTTCCTATCGAGGGTTGCGGGTTCGATTCCCGACGATTGTGGTCACACGCGTCTTTATTCTCTTTCAGGGGAAGTATGGTCCAGAATCAAAATCTCACTACTCGTAGTCTTCAGGGCGCTGAGCTGAATCGTCTTGGTCCGAGGAAGCTGAGACGCTCCCCAAGTTCCTCCTTTATTCCCAATCGAACTCGCCACTTCCACCGAAACTGGGTGACTGCGCCTTACTACTACACTTGTAGATGAGGATTTATATGCAAAATGTCACTAAAAGCGCCATTTTGTTGTTATCAAAGCACGGATGAACGAGATTGGTCCATAGAATTGTTTGTTCGTCTTATCTGTGTGTGAAACTGTATGCCGTGTTTGGAACGACTCGTGCGGTCAGTGTGACGAAAGATGTTATGGCCACCCTAACCTTATCTACTTGTTTTATTGCCGGCAATGTGAAAGTCGGTATGTGGGCAGAACCAGTCAGCACCTGGGCGCGCACGTATTCGTCAACACGTACCGTGGAATCTGGTCCCGTTGCACGCACGTGATTCTCGTGTTTCTGTGGTGTAGCGGACTAAAGAAAAACTATGTTGCTATTTTGTATAATAGAATTCCCATTCCGTTTTTTGCTTTAGTGTAGCCCTGAGGTCGACTCACTTATTTATTTTCTTCCCTTCTTCTCTCCGTATTTCTGTCCCCCCCTCTCTCTCTCTCTCTCTCTCTCTCTCTCTCTCTCTCTCTCTCTCTCTCTCTCTCTCTCTCTCTCTCTCTCTCTCTCTCTCTCTCTCTCTCTCTCTCTCTCTCTCTCTCTCTCTCTCTCTCTCTCTCTCTCTCTCTCTCTCTCTCTCTCATTCCCTCTTTCCCTCTGTCGTCCACATGTATCAAAGGAGGCGAAACCGCCTGTTTGTGGTGCGACGTTTAAAAACTTCTACGACAACAACAACCTCGAGGATGGCCTACCCCACCATGCGCCACAAGACTTCCTCGATGCCCCAGGGCATTGATTTTGTCGAGTGGAATCAGCCTTCATGCGGTGTAGGCATCATATTCTAGTGACGCTGGGTCTACGTATTTTTTTTTTTGTAGCACTAGTAGCGAGACGACGAGCACACTTGGCAATAGTGTTGCACAGTTGGTCCGATGTGCCGGGAAATGATGTACACATGTGCCGGCAAGAGGCAGCATCCACCCCGGAGGGACCGGCAGCTCCTTGGGTGTGCAGGGCGGCCTTGCGTAGTGCATCTCGGTTGAGTGACTCAAACTCAAAGCGTGCAGGGTGGGGACTCTGGGGAGGCACGGGTGCTTGGCCCTGAAGCAATGCTTCCACATGAGGAGGCTGCCCCTCCGAGTGCTTGGCCTTGGCTTGAGCAAGTTGAGGAGATCCCAAACGGTGCTTCCATTGACGGAGTCATCCAGGACTGAGGTCCAGCACTCCTCCGCGACCACCGTCTGCCAACATGTGGCCTTGTGGGTGGCGATCCTGATTATTATACACAGTCTACCGTCGTGCAGTGCTAGTCTGGCTTGCTGCCCAAGCTCCCTCTGCCTGGGCTGCTGCGTCCTGGCCTGCAAGGCTGCATTGGCATTGCAGATCTCACCATCGGCATCGTCCTCGATACCTGATATGATTATGAGGCCTCATAATCATATCAGGTATCGATCCTGTGCGCTGATCCTGTGCGCTGCGCATGCGGGAAAGGTCTGCCGACGATCGTCTCGGGGGATCTCACGCCGGGGAGTCAAGCACTACAACTACTGTAAAGTACAGTGCTGGCAACTGAAATCCGACCCCCTTGCCGGCTCGCCGCGCCGGCAAGGGGGAAACAAGTCTACAATACCACTACTACTACTAGTACAGTCTGTATCGGCGATAGAGTGACCGGATAAAAGAATATATCGGCTACACTGATATTGGTACGAAATGTCAAAAGCAAAACGTATTAATAATTTTTTTCCAGTAAAAATATCACTATAACCAATATTATCGGATGTAATGATATATCGGATATTATGATGGCAGCAAAGAATCAAATATGCATAACACACTATAATATTATTATTATCGGCTATTGATAACTATAAAATGCATGTAGCAATAATATCAAAGGCCCAATTTTTTTACTTTCTTCACGTTGATAAATATGGTGGTGAAGACACACCCGGTAATATGGCGGTAAACACACGCCTGCCCACACACGCTCTCTAGGCTGCAAAGTTCTAGCACAGAGCTCTCCTTCTCACCACCACCACCATCAGTTCGCGCCTGGCGCCTGGTCGATGCATGGTTGGCGGTATCCGGCATAGCAGGCTGGTAGATCTACATCAAGTAGCGCATGGCACATAGAAGATGACACAGCAACGACATAGCTCAATTGCGACGTACGTTTCGTCCCCGCTGGACTCATCAGGCAATCTTCTTCTTGGATGTCTTCATACGGAGCTTGACTCGGGAGAATGAAGTTGAAGACACCACTGCAGCTGTACTTATGATACGCCATATTGCCGGGTGTGTCTTTACCACCATTCTTTTATCAATCATAAGTACAGCTGCAGTGGTGTCTTCAACTTCATTCTCCCGAGTCAAGCTCCGTATGAAGACATCCAAGAAGAAGATTGCCTGATGAGTCCCGCGGGGACGAAACGTACGTCGCAATTGAGCTATGTCGTTGCTGTGTCATCGTCTACTTGATGTACCAGCCTGCTACGCCGGATACCGCCAACCACGCATCGACCAGGCGCCAGGCGCGAACTGATGGTGGTGGTGGTGAGAAGGAGAGCTCTGTGCTAGAACTTTGCAGCCTAGAGAGCGTGTGTTTACCGCCATATTGCCGGGTGTGTCTTTACCACCATATTTATCAATCATAAGTACAGCTGCAGTGGTGCCTTCAACTTCTTTCTTCACGTTGCTTATTTTTATAGTGATACATGTACATGCACATAACAGTTATGGAAATGCGGGCACTGTCAACTAATAGTCTATGCAGCTAGCATGCTCATTAATTTTGTCAAAACGCCATGCTGGAAGTATTTCCTTGCCTTTCATGTGTCGATCGAAATAAAAAAATAAAAATCGATCGTATGGCATAATTATAGTGATGCATCGTATAATAATATCACGGAAATCAAAAGGGTATACTTTATAGTCTGTATCGGCTATAGCCGATACAGACTATAA